CAGGGAGCCCAACTGGAAATCTGCTCAAACCAATGAGAGTTTAATTACCAATTACCTAACATACAATTTTTGAAAGGTCAGTATCTTAACTAGCTACCTCCCCTGGGTCCAGGTGTCCCCATTCCTAAAGACATCCACGTGGAATACGTGCTTCGATGCTGACTCCAGTGGCGGGTGTGTGTGAGCGGGTGCCTGCATGCGTGTATGTCCTGGGGCCTCCCAGCTCTGCAGGTCTCCCAGCCATGGGCCAGGGAACTGTTGTCCCCAGCTGGCCTGCTCACAGGTCAGCCGCCTGGCCCACAGCCCCCTCTCCTGGCCACACACTCATGACACCACAGCATTCTGCCCTCTGGGCTGGGCCCCTCTAGGAACTTGCTGCCTCTCTTCTGAGGATGCTTGCAGAGGGCCCTGCTGCTCACAGAGGGGCGGGCTCTGTGGTCCGCCAGCCAGCCCCAGAACGGAAGTTGGCTCCTTCTGCTCATGTCGCCTCAGACCTCAGAGCCTCAGCTTCCCCTTGCGTCACTGGAACAGTGACTTGTGAGAGTTAAAGGAGACCCGAGGGCTGGCTCCCAAGTCCTCTGACTCACACTCGCCACGGGCAGGGGGCGGCTCGTGTGGCAGCCACACTGACCTTTGGGAAATGCCGTGGGCTTGGCTCCAGCCAGGCAGGCAGTGTGAGTGGGACATTGAGGGCTGGGTTATTCCACTGGGGGCTGAGACACAGGGTGGTGGGTTTGCCAGAGAAACCCCACTGCCCAGCCAGCGAGCGTGAGGCCACAGGGCCGGAGCCTTGGGGGTTGCAGGGCTCCAGGGGGGAGAAAAGCAAAGAACCATGGTGGAGGCCCCTGGCTGCCTTCCTCCAGGTACCCGCGGGCCATCGTCCACACTCTCTCACCTGATAGATCACCCAGGGCCCTTCCATCTGTCTGCCTCTGGGCTCCCCTTGTCCTGGAACCCACAGGGTTCCAGCCAGCCCAGAACCCAGCATAGTGGAGGCATCTGGTCTGGGACCCAGCTCTGACCCCTGACATCCTGGCTGAACTATGGCAAGTCACAATCCCCTGTGGGCCTCAGTTTCCCCGTGTGTAAAACAAGGAAGCAGAACTAGGCAGCCTCCATGGGCCATTTCAGCCCTTGCATCTATTTCTTTCTTCCCTCACTTATTCAGTCAATAAACATCCCTGAGGTCCTTCTGATCTGTGCTGCACACTTGGAAATGGAAAATCCTATGGACCTCGGGGTCTGCCAGTAGAGGCAGAAGTAACACCACAATGCAGTGTGAGCAATTCAGGATTAGGGGTCTGTGCTGGGTGCTGACGAGGCACAAGGGTGAGGGAACTCACCCTGTAGGGAGAAGTCAGGGAGGGCATCCTGGAGGAGGTGATTTTGAGATGGGCTTCCAAGGATGACGAGGGGTTTTCCAGGGTGTTAGGAGAAGGAAGAGCAGGGAGATAACACATCTCCGGGCTGACATCACAGTCCTGACAGATCCAGCCCTCTTCTGGTCACTCACCAGCAGCTCTCCAGAGGATGAGGCCCAAGGAGCCAAGAGGTATGGAGGGTGCAGGCAGCTTCCACAGGTACCCCAGCTCCAGCTCTCAAGTCAAACCCTACCTATCCCAAAGCCAATGTGTGACTCTTTCCCCTCACTGGCTCTCCCAGACAATCCAGCTCTCGAAGACCCCGCACCACTGTGATCCCTGTGCTTGCTGGGTCTGTGATCTGCACATGGTAGTGCTGTCAGTACTCCTGCGCCTCGGCCAGCCCCCGAGGCACACAACGGCCAGGTTGATGCTGTGGCTCCCTCAACTCACCTTGCCTCCCCTGGTAGAGCTCACATGAAGCTCCCCCCAACTCCAGCAGCAAGCAAGCCCAGCAAGATGGGAGCATGGTTCCTGGGGCGAGCTGGGCCCAGGGCCAGGAGGCAGCAAGGGCCCACAGGAAAGAGCAAGCTGAGACTCCAAATTAGCACCCCAGGCCAGACCCTCCCCGAACTCCATACTGCCCAACCACTGCAGGTGACACTGCCCTGGAGGTGTCACACTGTCCTACCTCCTGCCCCCACCTGCTCCACCTGCAACCTTTCCCACCTCTCCATCCTGGAGTGACCCACCTCCTTTCCGTCTCTAGTAGCACATCTCCACCAACAGCAGGGCCTCTTGCTTTATCTTCAGAGTGTGTCCAGATCGGCCCTTCCCTCCCCCTCCACTGAGCCCCTGGGCTGCAGCGCTGGCCAGACTGTCCGCTTACCCTCACCAGCTCTGCTCCTGACACTGGCCTCTGGTCTGGTCCCTGAAGACACAGGCGGCTTCCTCTTCAAATCCCTGCCCAGCCTTTTCCTGATGTGCCCTCCACCCCCACTGCCACTTATCTGCCTCCCTCTCCTCCATTAGGTCCTCACGCTCAGGCCTCCCTGGAATGCCCTCCCCAAGGTACAAACAGCACCCCCGACACTGGTGGTCAATACTCTGGGCACCAAACAAACATGTTGGACCCCTGCTTGCCAGGCTGAGCAGAACTGTCATTACTGGTCACAGTGCAATTGAGTGGGGTCATGTGATTCATCAGGCTCAAGAGCAGTGAGTAGAAGTGACGCGTGGCACTCTGAACTGGGGCATTAAAATATTAGTGCAAGAGCCTCTTTTCCCCTCTGCCATGGGACTTGTCAGCCCACGTCCTAGATTGAGGAAGGCTTGGAGCAGGGCACTGCCAGCCCACGATGGACACACAGATAAGTGAAAACTACACCATGTTGTTACAAGTCCCTGGCTTTGGGGGTTGTTTGGTTACTGCAGATAACCTAAACCATCCTGCCTGATGCACCCTTGATATGTTCTAGTCCTCTTTCCTGCTTTACTTTTTTCTTTAGCACTTATCACCATGTAACCCTCTGTTGATTGTGCTTTTTTTCTGTTGATTGTGCTTTTTTCCCCGTGTCTCTCTTGCTAGGTGAGCTCCATGAGGACTGGGACTGTGGTATATCGGTTTCCCTGCTGAATCCATGATGCCTGCACCCAGCAAGCGCTCAATAAATGTGTGCTGAATAAGTGAACAAAATAAGGAACAAACGAGTCCTGTTTCTTGGGCACAGCCAGAGCTGGTCAGCCCAGCTGTGGCCCTCTTCTGCGCCCCCACCCACATTGAGCCTGAGGCCTCTGGTCTATGCTGGTCAGCTCCCTGCTGAGAGGGCTTGGAACAGCGGCACCTGAATTGCACAGCCGGATCCGTGTCAAAGAGGGGGGTTTTATCAACAGCCATGGAAATCTGACACTGCCTCATGCTCAGGATTAATTCCGGGACAATTCTCACCCTCCCTTCATGTAGAAAGGAAGCTGCCCCTCACCTGGCAGCCCACGCTCCTCCAAGCCCCAGCCTGGAGTGCACTCTCCTTAAACACACAGGCATCTGTGGGCCCACACAGGCACAATCCTGCCCTCTCCCCACCCCTCTCACACACACCCCATATATAAACATGCCCACATTTTCACATACTCTCACTGCAGCCCACACATCACACATACACACCTCCCACGTGCCCACCTCATCACAAACCTCCCTTCCATGCACCTCCTCCAGGGCAAACAGGTGGTTCTGCGCCCCTCAAGTCCGCAAAGGAATCCACCGTTGTCTTGGCTCTTACAAGCCTGACTGTGACAGTCCCAGGGCAGCCACCCTCCTGCGGGGGCCCTGCTGCTGGAGCTGCTGTCTCCTGCCTACCTGGACCTGTTCACTCCACAGAGGTCCCTACCAGGTTTGCAGGTGCTGCTCAGCCACAGACGATCACTGGCTCCCGCAAGCCACACCAGGAAAGGCAGTGGCAACCTCGGCTGCCCTTCTGTCCTGAGCCCTGGGCACAGCCCACCTGGCAGCAAGTGCCCCAGTGGGGACACGCAGAGGGAGTGATTCCCAAAGCAGGCTCCCTACCGGTCTGGCCAAAGATGCATATGATGGCCGCACTTCTTGCTCAGAGGGCAGCACCCCCTTCCGAACTCGGCGGCACAGGAACCACTCTCCCCGCGCTCCTTACTGCAACCAAGGGGTTGCCTGGCGAGCGCGTCCAGTCACCGCCTCCGCGACCCG